AGTTATTAGATGCAATTATGTTTAAAGAATCTCTTATTGTAAGTTCTTCAATTCCTATTGCTATCTATTGGAAAGCACTTCTTTTCCTTTGTCAACATCTTATATATTTAATACAACATCAATATTTAGCAAAGCTATGGGAGAATCTTAAATCTAGATTTGATCATCAAAAGACCATTTTCTTTTGACGTGCATATCATGATTGGATACATTTATGTATCTTAGATTTTCTAAATTTAAATGCTTTCAATAGTAGAATGTATCATATTGTCTTACAACTATGATTATACAGACAAAGCATCTTTGAAGAAGAAATGATTGAAAAAAATCTCTCTACATTTTCTCTTGCATCTACTGTACTTGCACAATAATATAGGAATATGAAATTTGAGAGTCATCCTGATGTCATGTCCTATCTATTTCTTGTGGAGAAACAAAACGAGCTACTCTTACGTAATGTAGAAGTTCATCCTATTAGAACCATGGTTCTAAAATCTCATGCACTTGATATTCAAAAGTTTAAGAAACAATTATAAAAACATGGAAAAAATACTCATAAGCACTAGGTCAATCATGGTCGTGACCATTTTTGCACATATAGAAAGAATAAATATTCTGCAATTAATTATAGTAGAAAATAATCAAAGATGCATTCTTACCATAAATATGGAATGATTGGACATTTGACACATGTGTGCCATACTTCAAAATACTTTGTTAAAATGTTTCAAGAAAATAAGAAACTTTGAGCTGAGGCTCGTGAAATTCATACTATAGATGCATCCATAGATTTAATTGGTGTTGATGATTTAGAAACTTATATGAATGATAAAACCTAGAATGATGAATCAAATGATACATTCATTGATTCTGCAACAACACATACTATCTTGTAGTATAGATGGCTTTTTATTGAAAAATCTTCAACTTAACAGACTACAAATTTGATAGCTATGATTGGAACAAATGTTTTTTGTTTTCAAGGAAGAATATCAATGGTTAAATTTCTTGCAAGCTCTATCATAAAATATAAATATGCAATGTTTACACTCTAAACACCTTAAAGTCTCATCAACTATTAAGATTTGTGTGCCAATGGCTATCACCTCTCAACTGCAATTTTAAATAGGCAAGAAGTTTTGGTTATTGAATAAAAATATAAAGTTGTAAAAAAAGCCTTTGCTGTGACAAATGGTTTATATCGGATTGCAATCCGGCCTCCTATTAAATTTAATTTTGCATCATCTATAATAAAGAGTTGCATTTTTTTTTTAGCATGGACGATTGGAACATCCAAGATCTACATTATTTTGGAAGATAATTCCATGTATAATTGGGCATAATTTAAGATTTGAAGATGCAAATTCTATAGAATTATATCATGCATGTGTGTAACAAAAGATGATTACTTGGCCTTCAATTTTGAAACTCCCACAAGAATTACTACCAATGCTTGAAAAATTATATGGTAATATTTGTGGTCCTATTAATCTAATATTTGGACCATTTTGTTATTTTTTGGTCTTTATTGATGCATCAGACAAACAATCATATGTTTCATTATTATCATTTTGAAACATGATATTTGCTAATCTTATATCTATGCTTATTTATTTTTGAGCACATTTTCCTGATTATCCTATTAAAACATTATGTATAGATAATATAAAAGAATTTGCATCAAAGTCCTTTGAAGACTATTATACTACAATAGGGATTGAGTTAACATATTGTATTCCATATGAACATGCTCAAAATGGACTTGTAGAATCATTTATAAAGCATCTACAATTCATTATCTAGCCACTCCTTCTTCATGCAAATTTACCTACATCTATGTAGAATCATGTAATTTTGCATGCTGTAATATTAATATACCTCTATCCTTCTTCTCTTGAAAATATTATACCATAAGAGCTCATTTTAGGTCGTATTCTAAATATATCTCACATATGTATATTTGATTGGTGTACTTGGATTCCAGTACTAGAATCTCAGTGTTATACTATTAGATCTCATTGACAAGAAGGCATATATGTTGGTTTTGATTTATCAAGTATTATTTGTAGAGTTGATTCATCAACTGGCACATTATTATGTGCACATTTTTAAAATTGCCATTTTGAAGAGAACATATTTCCATCTCTTCTAGAAGGAGTATTTAATCAACAAAGAAATACAATACTTGCATTTGAAGCACCAAAAACATTTACAATGAATCTTCATCCTATAACATCTTTGGTTGAAAGTGAAGTTGCAAAGATTTTGTATCTAAAACGGATTGCAAATGAAATACTTGATGGTTTTAATGATGCACCTTGGATTACAAAGAGTTCCAATTAATGAGGCTCAAAATGAACCTACTCAGATTATAATACCACTAACAAATATACCTCAGGTTAAAACAGCAGCAATTAAAAGGACTTGTGGACCAGATAAGCAATCACAAAAGAAGAAAGCTATAACATGCCATGATTTTGGTATTGTTTCTATAGAAGTTCTTACTAAATCTACAAGACCAATAATTAATGTGAATATGTCCATGCACATTATACCTTCACCTCATATTATAGAAAATTTTGAAATTAGAAAGAATAAAACCAAGTTGAATATAGAATTATCTATTCTATATTGTACTATAAATGATCTTTGGGATAGATCATCTATTATAATAGATGAATCATTTTCATTCATGATGGCAAAAGCTCTTTCTTATGAGAAAAAGAATCCTAAATCTCAAACCATTTAGGAAGTGATGCATTGCTTTGATTGGTTAAAATAGAAAACTACCATTGAAAAAGAGTATGCTTCTTTGTGTAAGAGAAAAGTCTTTGGTCCAATTGTGGACATTCTTATTTCTTGCCTTGTAGGATATAAGATGATATTAATACTCAAGCAAGATGCTGAAGGTCAAATAACCTCCTATAAAGCTTGTCTTATTGCTCAAGGATTTATCCAACAATTTGGTATTGATTATGAATCCACATATTCTCCAGTAATGGATTTAATTACATTCCAATATATTATTGGAATATTATTATATATGCCACTCTTGAAATACGTCTCATGGATGTAGTAACTGTGAATTTGTATAATTCACTTGATGTAGATATTTATATGAAAGTTCTACTTGATTTGAAAACATGAACTCTAAATGCACTTGCTCTAGGATGATATCATGGTATTAAATTATATAAGGCCATGTATAGTCTAAAACAATTTGGACGTATGTGATATCAATGTCTTTGAGATTATTTAATTATAAATAAGTTTGTAAGTGATCCACTAATCCTTTGTTAATTTATCAAATGAGATAAAATTAATTTTGTGATCACCGTTGTATATGTTGATGATCTTAACCTAGTGGGTATTAGATTTGCATGTGTTGCACCTACAAACCTACTTATATGTGAATTTGAAATGAAAATGCTAGAAAAAAAAACTTTATGAATTGGTCTTCAGATTATGCATCTCACAGATGGTAGCATTTTTTTTCTATCAACTAATGTATATTAGACAAATCTTTCGAAGATTCAATATGATTGATGCTTATCCATTGTCTACATCAATGGTTGGACATAGTCATGATGGTCATGATCCATACCATCCATGCGAGGAGGAGGAGGAAATATTAGGAGAGCAATATCCGTACCTGGTAGTGATTGAAGCACTTTTATATTTAGCTACATCTATTAGACTAGATATTGCATTTACAATTAGTATTCTTGCAAGATACAATGCATGTCCAATACTATGTCATTAAAATGGAGTCAAACATTTATTACATTATTTAAAAGGCACTGAAGATTTGGGATTATACTACACACGATCTACAGATCTAAAATTGGTTGGATATTCTGATGCAAGATATAAATTTAATATTGCAATAGCTAAATCTCAAACATGCTATATATTCTTAAGACATGGAGTTGCAATATCATGGAAATTAGTGAAACAAACTATAACTATAACTTCATCCAACCATGCAAAAATTATTGCCTTACATGAAGTATCTCAGGAATGTATTTGATTGCAATCAATTGATAAATTCATTCAAACAACATGTAGATTTTTATATAATGATTCTTCAACTAACTTGTATAAAAATAATAGTATTGTATAAATACAAATTGGTTTTATTAAAGGAGACAGAACACAACATATTGATCCAAAGTATTTTAGTTATATCCATGATTTGGTTACCAATCAAGTACTTAAGATCAAGAAAATTGAATCTGCAAATAACCTTGTTGATCTCCTCACCAAAGCTCTCCCTTTGTGCAACCATCGCCGACTTACTTATGGCATTCGTATGCGGAGACTTGCTATTCTAGAGCAAGAAAGTTAATGAATTCTTGAAATAATGTTGTACTCTTTTTTCTTCATTTATGGTTTTACCTTTTAATATAATAAGGTTTTCATAGACAAGGATTTAATGAAGTAGCAGTTGTTGATCTTAAGAGATTATAAAAAAGTATAGATTATAATTCTATGCATGTAAATATTATGACAAGCGAGGAGAAGTGTTGAGAGCATTAAATGTAGCCGGCTCTCTCCACACTATTTACTATAGTCTATGGTATTTATTGTAGCTACATTGTTTGGAATGTTGTAGGGAGACACTATTTATCTTCTGTCCTTTTCTTTGTATAAAGGATATAACCCTATCAATGAACTCACTTCTTGTGTGTGTGTGTATATTACTTCTAGCTACTATTGTCTCTCTTTCTCTAAAACATTCTCAATAGATTCCAAAGGAGGTTTCAGAAATCGAGGTAATGACAAGGAAATGAAGAAGGTGTGATTAGACAAGACAAAAGGTGACGGATTCCAGCGACGGGCCGACGGATTCCAGATTCCGCGACCAGCATGCTCGTCGTCGTCTATCTAGTGCAAGCGAGCAGAGGGAGACAGGAACATGCGACGAAAAGCGGACAAGGCGACTGTTCTAGGCCCGAATGGGGCCTGGAACTCTCCGGAAACTCCCTCCCTCTCTCTCTCTCTCGTGCTGGACATGGCCATCCCGTCCCTTCCATTGCCGCTCGCCTCCCTTGCGACCCCAAATTCCCCAACTCTCCGCTTCGCACTCTCGATTCACGCCCACGATCGCCGCGCGCCTCTCACGTTTCCTCTGTTGTGATTCTACCTTCAGGTACCCCTCCTCAGGTACCCCTCCTCAGGTACTCCTCGATCGCTGCGTGTTTGCATGTCTGGAACTGGCCTGTATCGCCACTAGCTTCGTTGCTTTGCCATTGTTGTTTTGACGATTCTTGTGTCGCGATTGTGGTAGGGGAGAGAGAATCGTGATTGGGTGTAGCTAGGTTGATTGAGAGTGGAAGAATAATGTGTGGAGATGGGGTTGTGAACTTGAGTTTTTCTTTTTTTGGTTTTATTTTGCTTGTCTTGGATTGGGTTTCAGGAGGGCTGAGGTTTGAGAGGCGGTTGTAGTTGATTGTAGGGTGGGGTACTCTGGAGGATTGGGCTATACTCTAATTTTGAGGGTGTAGTGAGGAATTGGGGTTTAGGGTTCACTGTCGTGTAATGTTGTAGATTGAGTCTCGTGTTTGGCTTAATACAGGAATTGGATTGGTACTGAATTGCGAACTCGTCAAGATTGTTTGTGTCGTGTGTCTGCTTCACCAAATAGCCGCTTGTGTTCTGAAGCAATTGTAGGAGTCTAGGTGGTTTCGATGAACGTTTCGGTTTGTCCGTCTTCATGAAGCGCATTCAAGCCAATCGGTCGAAGTTTTTAGTCGGGCATTGTTTTTTTTTCCTTGTATAGATGTTTTATATTCAGGTGATGCAGGAGCGGTGTTCACGCGTAGTAGAGCACCATGGCGGTGATGGAGTGTGCATCCCGAGCTACATTTGTGATTGGCGCAGCAAATGGCGCACCATGTGATTTTAAATGGCGCATGAATGCCTCCCTCCTGCCTCCTCATCTATGTGGTCCAAAAATTGTTCGCCTTTCAAGTGTCCATACACCCCGTACGGCAATTCTGGGCGGAGTGAGAAGCAATATCAAGCTTTCAGGTGCTTATTGTATTGCCTGTTGTGTCAAATTCTTTGCTGTCTTAAGGTATCTTTCTGCCAGGCAAGTCGCATGGAAATGCACATTCCATCTCTTTATTTCTACGGCGAAGTTGTCTGTTTCTTTGAAAGCTACGCGAATCTCTTGGACTTGTAAACACTCGTTGAACATGGTTACATGAAATTTCAAGCATGTGTTACTAACTAGCTCAGGTAATCTAGTTGACTTTATTGATGTGTAGGAATTTTTCCAAATTTATTCGTTTGTGACCGTAGCGGAATTGAAAATTCAGGAAATGATGGTCCATTTTGGTGAGGCCTTTTGGCTTGTTTTCAGTTGTAACCTTCGAGCTATTAGCAGCATTCACTAGCCCTCCGTCAATTCTATGAAATCTTACTTGTATTATTCTACGTACTGTCAACCCCATCTAAATATAGACACGTCGTTTTGTTTAGATTTGGATCTACACAAGTTTGAGAATTTACATAGCAAATTTTATCGTTTTATTGCTAACATAGCAAAAACGGATTGGATCAGTAAGAGCACAGGCCCAGTCTCAGTCTGCGAGTGATGGCGTAGCTGTCGCGGGAGTAACCAATTTCAAGAGCGTTTTACTACCTATCATTATGGATCGCAACCCCTATCTGTCTGAAGCTACCCGCCAGGTTGCCCCCTTTTTCCTTACACTTTATTGTACTAGTTTTGTTCTATTTGGCTGCTAGTCTCGAAGGGTACCCACATCAGGAGATAGCTGATGGAATGCTTTTGACTCTTCCCCACAGGCGGCCGCCTCCACGACAGCTCTTGCTACAAAATTTGGGGCCGAGATCACTGTTGTTGGTAAGTTTTTTGGAACTAAAATAAGCCCAGCTCTTGTGAACAACTCAAAACGATATTGCTCCTAAGGCTGGGCAAAGTATAAAATTATTTGATTTTCAAGTTCGGGTACTTTTAAAGTAATTATTGACCATTGTTGGATTCTGTGTCCAGTAATTGATGAAGACAGTTCTGAGTCAAAGGAGGATCACGATACTCGTATGAAGAACATACGATGGCATCTATCAGAAGGTACAGTGCTGATAAAATATGTTTCACAAGCCTTCATTCTGTTGCAGTGTGCTCAAATTTGTTGTTTATTCGTTTTGTCAACCTGTGTTGTCTTGAATCATTCATAATGGCCATCATTATGCGTACAGGTGGCTTTGCAGAGTTCAAGTTGATGGAAAGGATTGGAGAGGGTAAGCGGCCTGCAGTCGTGATCGGAGAGGTGGCAGATGACATGAACATGGACTTGGTAGTGTTAAGCATGGATGCTGTCCATGCTAAACACATCGATAGCAATTTGCTAGCGGAGTTTGTGCCATGTCCCGTCCTCTTACTACCCCTATAGATTCTAGCACATAGTTTGCGACTTTTTCATGACGAGGATGCTCTTACAGCACTACATTCCAGTTTTTTCATTGCTCATGAAAGAAAAGACTGGTGAAAGTGTGGGTAGTTCAAGTTTCCCTAACGTGATATAGCCGATCCAAATTAGTCGATCAAACTTGCATGATGTCGGCATTCTGTTTGATACTGGCAAACTACATTACTCAAGTAAACTTAGTGACGTGTTTCACCTACATGTTGATGAGTATATCACTTTTCCTAGTAATGTTTTGGAGACTTTTCCTCTTATTCTTTCGTGCTGTTTGTGTTGATCAATGTATTGACTTAGACAACCAGAGGAGGAATAAGCGCGCAGCCTGAAACAAACATGGTCAGTTACAATGTGAGGAAACTTGATTCATCCCATCCATGAGGTTGAATACATCTGTGGTGCCTTACGTCGTTGTTTCTGTTCCATGTTCTACCTCCTACGTCATTTGGGATGGATTCAGTCGGCTTGTACTATCTTTTCTTTAATATCTTACATAACATCAGTCATACATATTTTAAAAAATATTTAACATAAGATTTATATCTAAAAATAATAACACATATTTAAACAAAAATGATACATTTGAGTAAGAAGAACATTTTACTTCTTCATTTTGAAACAAGGCTATGTCATTGTGCTATTTCCTATCAAGCAAACCAAGGTTGTGATGTATAGTTCAAAACACCAATCTACTTAGTGTAAAAATTTGTTATTTTCTTGTAGCAATAAAGTTATATTTGAAATTTTAAATCTGAGATCCTTAATAAAATGAGATTATAAGTTATAATCTCATTTTATTAAGGATTAATTATTAGAATATTAATTGTTTTGATAAATTAATAAATTTGAGGATTAACCCTAATTCTAAAAATAAAAAATTAATAGATCAAAATTCTGTCTAATATTCTTAAGATCCTTTATTTAGATAATTGGAATTACATTCATAGATTAATAAAATAATAATTAAACTTGTGTGTGGTTATATTTTATAATAAGTAAATCTTTTACAGCAATTTAACAATTATACAAAAAACTTCACATTGCCAAATATAAATAAGTAATACAAGATACTATAAAACATCAAAAAATCTTTAATTTAAATAACAATTTTGTCAACATCTTTGGTCTACTATTTTTTGCAAATTTATTCATTTGTAAAATCATCAAAGCATATCAACTAAATTCTTTAATTTGAAATATTTAATAAAAAGAAGGTTCATTATGTAATTATAAACCTTGTTTTTACATAATTACACACACATGTTTCATAGCCAAAGACAGTAAAAAGAAAAAAGAAAAAAGAAATCCCAATTTAAAGCAACTTAAAAAATATTGAATAAAAATGTGTCAAAATGTGCTTATAATTAATTTATTTTTTAATTAATTTATTTTTAATTTTAAGACTTTAAATTTTATTTAAATATTAATGTTATTAGTACAACTTCTATTTTACAATCAAATTCTTCATAAAAGAGTAAAATCTTAAATTCTTATATCAATTTCTAAAGATGTTAATTACTAAGAAACACCAAAACTTCAATTCAAAGGTATAAGAAAAATTTTAAAAATTTCACGTTAAAATAGAAGAAAAAGATTTATAATTTTTTCAAAAAAAAACTTATATGAATATCAATATAAATGATTTTAGCTTAGAGATTGTTGGAGAAAAAAAACATTTATAGAAGATTTTCAAAGTTGCACATTAATAATAATAATAATATAAAAAAAAACAAATTAGTGAAAACAAAAGAAATAAAGAGATTCTACATTTCATAAGTAATAAGGTGGACGGCCACAACTTTTAAATCCTTTGATTAATTAAAATCAAGAAGCTTCATTTAGTTGGTTTTTTTTTCAAAAAAAAACTAGTCTAAAAGCCCTAAGAATAAAAGACTCTCAAATGAGGGTTATTATTTACTAAAGATGGCTCTCAAATGAGGGCTATTTTTTTACTAAAGATGCATCTTGGTAAGGCTTTTGAACAATGGTCTTTCAAAGTAGACTTCTAAGTATCAAGACCCCTTCAAATGGATCTAGACATATTTAGTTTTTCACAATATATTTTCAACACACAACTTATAGATGCTATACAACTTATAAATCTTTTATATAAAACTATTGGTGGCATAAAGAGTTCCAAATAATTTTATAAATATTTTTAATATAGATATTTTACTTTAATATCTAAGTTATTCTATTTTATAAAGATCTTAAAAGAACTTTTCAAAATCTAATTATCTAATTACACATTTAAATGCACATATAAGACATATATATATATATATATATATATATGCAAAGAGAGAGATATACTAAAGTCACACCTTGAAATGTGATATAATTGCTTGCATTGCAATTTTTTTAAGAATTGTACTTTACAATTCTTTTTTGGACACTTTGGAGAAGGTTGGTCAATGAAGCGACTTGCATTTGGGTGGAGGAAGCATTGGGAGTGAGGATTTAATATGTATGCACAAGTGTAGGATGAAGAGGAAGAGCAAAATTAGACACAAGTAAAAAGTAGCAAAGGAGAGCTAAAGTAGACAAAAGTGCAGAGTGGCAAGGGAGAGAACTCAAAGAGTGGGAGTTGATGGAAGAGCAGGAGTGTATTTATGTGGGGTGTGGCTTTAACAATATAGAGGTGTTGCTTTAGATATATAATTATGAATCCATAAACACAAATATTTGTTTTATTATTAGTATAATAATTAACAAGCAATCATGTTGCTATTTTTTGTATGTGGATCAAAACTATTCTTCTGAATATATAAACAACATTGTTTTGGTTAGTAGATTTAGCTGGTTTTTCAGAGTATAATTTTATTTAATTTGAGGCAAATTTTTACAATTCTAAATACCAAATCATCATTATTTAAGACAATAACGTATTTCAAAATTTACCTCTATACTGGAGTTACTTTTCTGTAGAATGTGTAATTTACTTTTAAAGTATTATCTTAAAAAAAATAAAAAATAAATTGAAATCGTATATGTGAATATTGTCTTCTGTTTAGAATTAAGTGTTATCTTCAGAATTCATAGAAGTGGTTTTTTTTTTTGGAAATCAAATAATGAAAATTGATAAATTAATTAAACTGATAAAAAAAACAAGTAAACAGATCAGTATTTCCATATATTTCCAAAGAATGAGACAAAATGGGTTTGAAAAATATGTTTCAGTATTAATGAACTCTCTTTTAAATATCGCAAAATCCTTGCAACAGCTCAAAGAGTATTTTTAGGAGCTTAGTGGAAACTTCCAAGTGTGATAGTTTGTACAAGTTTCAATGTTAATGTTCAGTTCAATTGACTTTTTCCTTTTTTCTTGACGTTTACTACTGATTATGCCAAACGGTGTAAGTTCAAATTATAATTTACCTACAAACTTCTATATAATAGAGACATTCTTAATAAGGCACATGTGCATGCTTCTGTTCTTTATTTAGGCTTAAACCATTATCTAACAGTGCCAAATACGTATATCACAATTTAGACTTGCGTCCATGGGCGTAAAGTGTTTTATAACCCAAGAGGTTCATATACACAAGTAATTTAGAAATCCTCAACCACATGAAAATCACACGTATTTCGCTTCAAATAGAGGTGCTGGCTGTAAACGCTATTTTTATTAATAGCACCTGCTTGACGAAATCGGGATTTTTTAGGCATCTTAAATAATTTTACTGGTCTTGAAATTTCAAAAAAAAGGTAGAGGCTCTGCATGATGCATTTTCCATGCCTTGTAAAAGGGCAACTAAATGTTTAAAAGCCTGATTTATCCATCAGTTGTCAAAATTACAAACGTCTTAGCTGTGTTCTTTATGATTGCTTATGAGTTTCTTCTCACATAGATAACAGCAAATAAATCAAATAGCTTTGGGGTAACACAAGAATACGATTTACAATGAGTTTTCTCGAAGAACCGGTTCTCATTCCTTCTGTCGTTACCTAGCTAGGAGAATTTATCTTCCTAAAACTAACAACTTATCGCCTCACTCAAACAATGGCAGATGATATATTCAACAAAAAAAAATCAACAATGCTAAGAAACAAGACAACCTTCTGCAATACCACACGACGTGTCGTGTCACTTGAACCCAAGAGCAAACGATAACTTAGGGCGGGTGTTCTTTTTGCCTAAGATTTTCATTTGCTCTTGCCGTCCTTGTTCTTCTTCCAACTTTTTCCTTCGCAATGCTTCTTCCTTCTGCCGTTGTAGAGCCTCCAGCTCACGATACCGTTCTTCTTCCTTTCTGGCTTGCTCCTCAGCTGCCCTCCTTTGAGCTTCTTCGATCTTCCGTCGATTTTCTTCAAGCATCTGTTCCAGCTGTTCTTTCTCCTTATTTTTCTCTTCCTGGAGATCACAAAATCAAACAAACGGTAAGGGCAATGAAGAGCACCTGTGCCACGAAATTATTGTTCCATGAAGTGTTATCGAAACTAGAAAAACCTTAACAGGAAGGTACAGGTGAACTAGGTTTCAGAACCATTGTGATATATACATTGAAAAGAGTCTAGGGATACCACGGCGTCGGATAGACTGTCACTCCACGTACTCGATTCGATGAGCAGTCAAAAGGAATATATAAGAAAATTCGCCATCCATCAAAAAAGGCTACGACGGCATACCTCTTTCCTCCTAGCCTCTGCAAGAGCTTCCTCCTTTTCTCTTTCAAGCTGAGCAGCTATGTCGTCAATAATTTTTTTCCTGCCCTCTTGTATCCTGGACTCAAACTCCTTCTTAAACTCCTCAGAGTGCAAGGCATCGTGTACTTTCTTCCGAATAGCTTCTTCTATTCTCTTTGCAGTTTCTTCCTCAATTACCTTTGCTTCATCCTCTTGCTGTCGCCTGTAAATAAAGTACGCTTAGTCAGCAAACTAGGACATATTTGTGATAGATGAACCCAGTCCCATGCTAGTTTAACAATCTGGGGATAAGCGAACATTCATCACACTGATTCTTTCAAGGCACAGTCAATGTAAAAGCAGATAGGAACCACACGAAACTGATACATAACCTGAAGTGTGTTGCACGAGGTCAGGTCCGAATATACTGCGACATATGAACCGAGACACATTGCACATCCAGAGATGACAAACAAGCTCAATTTGAAGAGGCAGCCGAAACATATCCTCCATTGATCACCCGTGGACATTAAGGACCTATATACATTCAGTGCGAAGGACGACGTGAAATGTGCGAGACATGTACTGAGTGATTCGAATCACAGACATACTCGACACTGCCATGGACCAGAAGAAATGTCTCACCACATGGCGTCACTTCCACTACAAACTTTGACTGCGATGGAAAGCTAACCCATCCTTTCTATCAATCTTAACCATGAAAAATTGCCGTTATTTTGGCAAAATTACTTGGCTGATTCCTCTTCCATGTTACTTCCCCTGTTAACATCAGCAATTTGATTAGAATCACAGCATATAATAATGAGAAGTATATCCTTAAGGCTTCCAGATTCTTTTTTATTGGACATATCTTCCCCATGTGGGTCAGAACGCCAATCTTTGTGAGGCAGTACCTTTTCTTCTCAAACTCTTCGTCTTCTCGAACCTTATCAAAAGCTCTTCTTCGTTCAAGAGAGAAAGGACTTGCACTCCGAGATCTAATTGGTGATCGTGTACGACTACGACGCTTCGATCGCCTTGGAGATGGTGTTCGACTCCTGTGCCTGTCAAAGAATTCGAACTTTTTAAATTTCGTGAGACGATGCATTTACCCAGTTGCCAGGAAACTAAATTCCTGCATCTAGATGAAGAACAGGTTGCGAGGACATTACTGTGCTAATTTCCATTTCAAACCAGTGATATTTCCCCGAGTAGGAAAATTATATTAAGTCTCGAGGAATCGGAATTATACACCCGGATTCTACTTGTACACACACTCTGCGGCATAATCCTTAAACAACAAGACCAACTCGGGAAATTATTGACCTACATGTGACAAAGCGCGCCGATGTAGAATGCAACACAAGTTGGCAGGCACATCTATGGTTACCAGAGGGAGAGGGCGGCGGTACATCAGAAACGATTGGAAAGTTCCTGAAACGAGGACCTTCCATAAAGCCCTCCAGCTTTTCTCCAGGCAGCAACAGCATGAAAACCCCCTTCTTCCATGAACATCATGTTCATCATCCCTTCCGAGCACGTCTGTCCCCACCTCATTCTCACTCTTTTTTCTTTTCCTCTTTTCTTTTTTTTTTTCTCATCGATTATAAGCGTTCATGATACTCGTAACTATCTGACAGCACTCGGACTCTCATGGCTACATTCTAGCCCAACAACAATAGCATGCGTAGCCCAGTGTTTGCTCACTGTAACACACCTGCTGTGACCATGATGCACTGGTGATCGGCTTCTATGGGACTCCCTCCTCCGTTTCGTGCTGTGACGGTGTTTCACAGGCGACGGTGATCGTGCAGACGCCCGGTGCCGCCCCTTGCGAGGTGGAGACCTCGACCTGGATAATGATCGAGGCATCGCTTACCTGCTTCCAAAACCAAGTAGTTTATCACTACCTGCCCTTCCTTATGCAGGCCTTTCGCTCAAGACCGAGAACTCTTTCGATCTGGTAACTGTCAATCTGCACCAACCGAAAAGATAAATTTTAAAAACAAAAATCATCAACAGGTCAACACAAGCTCGACAAACTACAAGCTTTAAAATCTGTAAACGGACGTACGTAAAAGCACAGCATCCAACTTCCATAAGACTCGAACAGGATACGCAGACCCTTCTACTAATATACCAACTATTGCATAGATAATCCTTAGATTCTGGCACCATCACCCCGGTCTGATAGCACATCAAGCCCCGGGTGCGAAACACTTCTCAAACTCAATCAGCTGCTCAAATGGTATAAACGCCAAATAAACCCCTAATTATTTTAATTCTGGATACAAAGCTCTTAACAAGAAAGATAAAGAAGCTTTTGAGGACACAATTCGTACTGACGGATAACTACTAAGCTGGACCCATAATTGTACAAAGGGAAGAACAAATTACTCATAATCATTAGCGATTTACTATCATACAGAAGATTTCGTCTGCAAGCAGTTAGCAACTACTCGAAGAGAAGCATTAACGTATGTCGGCCACTCATGTCCAAGTTCATCAACCTCCACGACATAATTGGGAGCAAACATAAGCGCACAAACACGACACAACATCGACTAAAGCCGAACACCAAACCGCACAAAAAAAGAGCATCTCAATTTTCATTTTCAGGCCTTGCCTGGCAGTACAACGTGCACAGTCTCATCAAGCAACCACAATCCAATCGCGAAATCCTAAAATCACGACGAGACAATCATTAGAAACTCTCCTAAACCTAATATCACCTTCACAAATCCACACCTCTAACGCTACCTCACATCACCAACTCGAGCACTCAAAAAACAAACTTCTCAACCCTGACAAATCTACCAAACTAGCGACTTCCTCGCCCCAATTGCGGCATACAGCTCCGTTCAATGTGTTCCAAAAATTTCTAAAATTATTTCAAATTAAAAATTAAAAACGAAGAAATGAGACATTGCGCATACACAGACCTTCCCAAAAGAGGAAACCCTAACAAAAGCCATCAAGGACGCAAATGTGTAACGCGCTCAAAGAAAGAGAGACGCAAAATCACGAAGAGAGCGAGAGAATCACCAGCGAAAGAGCGGCGTTGCGGTGCAGTGCGGTGCAAGATGCGTTGGAGGATGTGAGGCAATGGTAGCGATGTCGCTGAGATTGAGAGATCCTGCAACGATGACAATGAGACACAAAACCCCCCGAGGAATCCATCACTAGCTGGCCACATCTTCGCAAGCACTTATAGGGGCCCCTCTCCCCGCCTGGAATTAGGGCTTCGTCATCGCGTCGCTCGGATGGATGGATGGATGATTTGTTTCGCTTTCATTCGTGAATCCTAATGATGTTGACATTCATGGACGGAAAAAATTAAAAGGCGGCTCCTGCGAAGGTCAGATTCTCCAACTGGTGATGCTGAAGTGGACTTATTAACGGCCCATGATATATCTCTCATATAAAACTAGACTCTTGTGTAAAATTGCTCAGGGGGACAAATACACGGGATAAACAGCCTACACAAAACGGCGTTTTGATTTGATGCATGCATCTCTCTTTGCTAGAGTTCACGGGAACTTAACAGAAGGTAAAATTTCTTTACGAGTTTGGCAAAGAAACAATTCTCAATCATATCAAAGTCTAACAGAACGTGAAATTTCTTTTTGAGTTTGGCAAAGCAACATTTCGCAATCATATCGAAGTCTAAATGGCTCCATTCGCCCAAAATATTAGCCAGATCAATTGTTTGTTTTCTTTATGGGAATGAGGCAGCATGGGTATGTCACCGTAAGAAACTCAAATACTGCGTCATGTTTATGTTGTGCGGCATTGCGGTATGCAGTGTTGCAGATTGTTCGCTTCAACCACTGCGTCGCCCCTGATTGAGCACTATGGTAATGCTCTCATTACACTTTTACCGCCTCATGAAAACAATCAAGTTCATCTGTAGTATCTTATGGTTCAATTCGGCATTTCAATACTTTGTCTGAGATGTTTGATGGGGCTTGAGAGATTGAAAATTACGGTAATGCAAAGGGATTACTAGGTCGAGGGTAATTCCGGGCATGCTTTCGTCGCTGGTTTACGCCTTTTGCGTCTCTTTTCACTTGCAATTGCAGTTACTATTGGTTTTAAGGCTTTGCTGGTCGCTGATTACCGGTGTACTCCCTATATGCCAGGCGATAAAACTTCACAACTGATTTGCAAATAGGAATTTTTGTGAAGGTTCCGAATCTGACAATCTCATGGTTTCGAACCTCCTTACTTTGTTTGTCTAACCAGCTTGGAGCATTTACATGAGGATAGAACTAAAGAGGACATTGTCACATTTGCAATTCAGCTTGGTACAAAGTCAACTTCGGAATCTAGCACAATATTTCTTGTTTGCTTCAAGACCAATCATATTCGTTCATGACCTGCAAACTGGAATTTTTGTGAAGGCTCCGAGTCCAACAATCTCATGGTATATGAAACATCCAGGTCGGCATTTGATTTTGCCAAGAGGCACACTTTTAGTTGAGACATTTACTGAAAAATGTCTCTGGCGCCAAAGTCGGGGCAATGTGGTGGAGCTTTCAACTGTTGAAGGTGAGCTGAAGAGAAGGTATAATCTGGGTGATTGAAACCCATTAGTTGATTTGATCACCTAAATTCTATGATTATTAATATTATGATCTTTGCAGGTTATGAGGCTGAGTTACTCACATCGCGAAGCTCAACCATGGTAGCGTTTGTTGAGGTTTCTAATCGGAAGAGTGAAGAGAGTTTTTGCGTGTCAACAATCAAGCTAATGCGAGATACCACGCAATGATGGCCGTGAAGCTGCCGAAGAATCCTCCGGCCTACACAACACAACCGCCACAACTTCAACAGTTATTGATCAGATGATCTAGACTGGACCAGCGTCATTGCTTAGAAAATTGGACTGTGAAGATTTAATCTCATCAGGATTGAAACTAAGATCAAGTTTTGTTTAAACTATGTGCAACGAAAAATGCAAGTAGTCGAACCAAGCTTATGTGTAATGCTAATCAGTGATTCACGGAATAGGCCTCTGTGCCCGTGACACTGGTACTGGTTCAGCCAGATCATCGCAGCTGCAGAGTTCAAGATGGAAGAGATTTCCCTGCATATTGTAGACAAAATTGCGATGTTCAATCAAAACTTATAATTTTTTTTATCATATAATTAATTAATTATTTTGAGCTTGTATATTTTCTATCGAAATATATTTTGGATATTATTTTATCTAAAATTATAATTTTTATATATATATATATATATATATATTCACATAGCTCAATTACTTTATTTTAATTGAAATACCAATTTAAAAATAATTTTAAGATAAAATATTTTGACCTTTTATATATTTTTTTCATATATATATTTTCAATTACAATAGAATCTTGAATATATACTTATTACTTTGCAAAAATTAATTAATTTATTATTATTATTATTACAAAAAAATCCTATAAATTATTCAAATACTAAAAAAAACTAGATTTATTTTTATTTTTATTATATCTTTTCTTGAGAATCTATACTTTCTTATGATTTAATGTTAGCTTATTGTCAAAAAAACCAATTTTAGATTACTTCTATACAAGACCATTATAGTTTTATTTTATCTTATTAAAAAAACGTATTCTTGCCAACACTATTTGGATATAAGGACACAAATGTTTTACATTAGTTATAAGAGCAGAATTTTGATAACATTAATAAAAATAAAAATAAAAAGTATAAACCAATATGTGGCTAAGTAATATAAAATCACATAATATAATATAAATATGTGTTAAAATTAAATATAAAAAACATATATATATATATATATATATATATATATATATATATTTAAAAATTAAAAAATTACAAGATTGTAAATTAAACATAATCTTATAAAATTTTAATTGTATGATTTTAATAATTTTAATAATATGTATGTATGTATATACATACATAGATAGAATTCTATTTTTAATGTACTTATTAATTTAATAATAAGGAGAGACTTTTATTGAATAATGTTTTTATAATCAAATGTCTAGATTTATTATTTTTTACAAATTTGGAACAAATAGTAATAGAAAGATTGATTTATAATTATTTTTTATCTTTATTGTTTTTAAAAATATAATAGAGAAAAGATATAAAGAGGTATTCATAGTAAATTCGTATAACATTTGGTCAATAACATGATAAATGTTGTGCATAATAATACCTTATAATGAAGGTCCAAGATATAAGTAGACATATTAAGAGCCTAAATTTTTTTTTTAAAAAAAGAATTAATTTATTTTCTACTTCTTATTAAAAAAATCATATACTTTATATTATAATATTATAAAAATGAGATATATTATTAAAAAATATATATGAATAAAAAAAAAATTTTAATTTTAATACTCACTTAAATTTGTGATTGTTTAAATTCGTAAAAATTGTTTATTTTGCAATATTTTGCAAAAAAATACATTTATGTGTGAGTGTTTGTTATCATATTTTTTTATAGAAAATAAACATTTGATGTGAGATTCAAGATTTAGTTGTAATTAATTTTTTTTAATAATAATACAAGAATATTAGTATTTTGTAATATAGAATATCTTCTTCTTTAGATTTTTAATAAATATTAATATTTTTTCAATAAAAAATAATTATGAGAGATATTTCTTAATACAACCATACATGTATGCAAAAACAGATGGATGAATATTAATTTTAATCAAACATATATAATAGTATTATTATAACTTGGTATTAAAATATTATACTTTTAATACTTCATCTACCAATTTAAATATATATATAAATATATAAATATATATATAATAAAATAGGTATTAAAATTATATATGTTTATATCAAACATGTATATATATCAAAAATAATAAATTAAGAATCATAAATTTATTTTATTAAATTTAAGTATATTTAAAAATTATTATATATTTTTTTATACAAAATATATAAATTATAATACTTTATAAGACTTAGATACTAATAAAATATAAGGCTTAGAGCCTTTATATAAGATTTTTTATTATTTAAAAGTTTAACATAATATTATGTTATAATAAGATAAATAAATAAATAAATATGATATTTTTAAAAATTATTGATGAATAAAAATAGACTTAATCATCTTAAATAAAAAAAATTATTGAAAATAAGTTTATATATGTATCATAGGCATATTAATACTAATAAATACTTAAATAAGAAGAATATAATAGAAATAAAATGAAGTAGGTGAATTTGGTTATATCATGTGAACAAGCTTTTTAGTTGTAGATTTTATTTTACAAATACTTATAGATGATTGATTGGTTGAAAGCATGCCAAACAAGTTGGCCACATATTGCTGTCACGGCCATAATCATGTAAGCTAATAATTACATATAGAAATAGGTAGAAGTAAGTAAAAGTAGATAAAAGTAAGCTAATTCTATAATATTTAATATAGAAGCTTCCTAGAAACTTCCTAGACGCTGCTTTGACTTCATAGGTGTCTTCAATTGACTTTTTGGATTAGAAACATGGTCAACAAGTTGGCCATGTGCCACACATGTTGTTAACTTGAAGATCAAGCTAACTATGTGGCCCACACGTAGAAAAACTTGCCTTGTAAGTCAAGGCATGTGTCCTACAAAGTCAACACATATTGGAGGTCCTATAGAATGTCGCCACGTAGCCCCTAGTTAGATAGTATATATAGAGACAAGAGTGAAGGCTTCTTCACTCTTGTCAACTCCTTTCTTGCTTTTAGTCCAGGTTCAAGAGTCTTTAGTTTCTTGTCTTGTGGCAATAGCCATTTCAGTTTCCTTTTAATATACCTACTTGTTTATATTTTGACTTATTATATCGAGATAGCCTTTTTGTGTATATTTTCCCTCCTCGAGTCTTTGTCCTTAACAGATTGACAAGAGTACACTTACAATATCAGAGCTTTGTTTTTCTTGAGTGAGAGTGGATTACCCCTTTCTCTTGACAAGACATAAGCGTATTAGAAGTTTGCGGATTACCCACTTCTAAACTGATATTGTTCTTAGTATCTTCTTTGTTATCAAGTCTTTCTTTTCTTTTGTCTTGAGCAGTATCAAACAAATTTTTCTTCTTAGTGTCATTATGGCAGAGCTTGTTGAAATGAAGAGTGCAATGGCACAAATGCAAGAGCAAATGAGGGAGTTAATGCTTGCGATGCATCAACTCAATTCACCAA